GTTTAACTCCTACCAGTCAAGTCTGTCTAAAGCCCTTGCTCAGCAACTCTGAAGGGACACCCATTCCATACCTCCAACCTGTCATGCCTGTTCACCTCTCCAGAAAGAACAGCTGACAAACAGCCAGCACAACTAAAAAAAGCCTCCTTTACTTACCAGAAAAAAAAAACCCAACTGTAAAAGTGTGTGTTTCTACTGCTACACCCCTACCAGTAGCTAATGCTGGGGGCCACCAGAGCACTGGGACAATGGGAGTGGGCTGCACAAATCCAGGTGTCAAGTGCATGTTAATCATGACCTTTAACACAGGCCATATGCAAAAAAGAAGTTAAAAACCCCAAAGTAACATCAACACCAATAAAGCTATGTAGCAGGTTGGTCTTACCAAAGCCCAGCTACTGCCTTCTCTCTCTGTTGCACACTCCTGTTATGGGCAAGCAGTGAAATAAGAGTTTAACACAACCTTCAAGCCCCCAGCCCTTCACATGACCCTCTCCACCATGCTGGTTCACTGAGAGACAACATTTGGGCAGCAGAAAGTAAGTGATTTTGCATAAATGGTATATAAACTTTCTGCCAAGACTGTACCTGTCCCTGTGATAAATCCTCTCCCCTAGCCTTTGTGTTTTCCACAAAACAAAAAGCCTTGACTATTATTATGCAAAGAAAATCTGTATGAATTGCTTCCTGCAATGCATGGGCAAGTCAACAAGATTGTAGCAACAAGCGAAGGAGTCATATTTTCCTTTCAGCCATCCCCACAGTAATCCTTGTTTTTCCCTGTCACACAGGGTGTGTGCTGCTGTGCCCCATTCAAGGGCCTTGTGCAGAGCTGAACAGATGAATTACTACAATAGAAACCACAGAATAGAAATAGTCATGATTTTTCAGACCCTTGTACCAAAGTGTGCTCCTGGCAAGGCAGGGAACAGGACCAGAGATGGGATGGGAACAGGGGAGGGCAGGGGGTATGAAGAAACCACTGTACTGAGTGAGAAGCCAACTGATCTCTTTCGTGACCTGCCGCTTTAGCACCTGTGCCTTTCTCTGTTTCTCTGGCTCTGACCCTGCTGGTCCAGTTTGGAGTGAGGACTGCAGGACTCCCCCTGCTTTTCTCAGCACCTGAACTGTTGCTGAAGGCATCGCACTCTGCAGCACAGCACAGGGAAGGCAACCTTGAAAGCAAACATGGACACAGCTCCAGTGAAATCCAGCTTGCCAGCAGCAGGATCCAACTGCTCAAACACCAGGTCGGTCAACAGTGAGTGATCCTGTGCACCATTGCCTCTGAGGGGCACAAAGCATCCCCTGGAGATGGAAATGACCTGTCCTTCACTCCTCCTTTTCTATGTATGGGAGCAATTTTGCACAGAGGAGTTGTTTCCTTCTTCTATTACCTTCTAACATAGCAGATGACACGTTTGGGTTCCCCAGCTGATTACTACACTAAATGCCACAACATCACTGCTTTATGTTTCAAAGGAGCTGTGGCACCCCAGAATCCTGCCACGCCAAGGAAAATAAACCATAGTTAAGGAACACATACTTAACATGGCTTAACACTGAATAGTGACGTCAGTCTTACCCAAAGGCCACCCCACTTGCACCACTGTCTGTAAAATGTCATTTCCAAATGAGAAATGCAGCAGAAGCCCCCCCAGTCTGTGCCTGTCAGGGTGCTGCATCTCTGCTGCCAGTCTGCAGGGAGCTGTGTGCCCTGAGCCCCCCAGGAGCAGGGTGATTCCCTCAGCTAACGTGGAGTTCTGCAAGGGCCTGACCAAACAGACACACACACACGGGAACCAACCACAAGCAGAGCCATCTGCTCCAACACTGCCATGCCTTGCAATGTGGCCCAAGTGATCTGAACAGTGAGCAGGGCAGCAGGAAAGAAGGGATTCTTTAACAAATATTTTCTTGTCTGAATTTGCTGATTTGCTAAAATCAGTGTTTGATGGGCAGTGATGGCTTCCAACCCAGGAGTCAGGATTTGTGGGAGGAAATGGGGACCACAAAGCCTCTGAGGACCCCGTAGATGTGGTATCAGCCAGACTTAGACAGGAATTGTTTGTGTATCTGAGGCAGACAGATTGCATGTCCTACCATTAGATGTATTGCCTTGGCCAGAAGAGAGGAATGAGGCAAGAACTTTCTTTTTCTGTCACTTTATCTGCTCTGTGCAGGATTACCAGATTATGTAGAAATATCAAGCAGCAGACAGTGAAATGTTTGCACTACATTTGCATTTTTTACAGAGAAGAGTAAAATGTGCTCATTTTGATTAAATGTATCTATAACCTCAGGGGAGAAAATGATCGTGTATGGAAGGTAGGAGTAACAGCTGAATAATTTTCCTGTGCTGGTCCACAGCACAGTTACCATGGCCTGAGCTGGCCCCCAAGTCCTCAAGGGCAGCAGAACTATGAGCTAATGCTGGCAGGCCCTGGCTTGCCACTGACACCCACATTTGCTCACTGACCTCAGGGAATGGGGCACAGGCCCAGCAGACACTTCAAAGTGTCGCATCGAACGTACGTGGACAGACTGATTAAGGCAGCTTTGGTGAGCGCAGAGCTGTGCACACCAGAGCCAGAGAGATGGATCATTTTGGCTGGAAGAGACCTCAGGTTTGCTGCTTGTCCTCTTCACACAGCCCTGTGCTCTCCAGGAACGCCCGGGGTGTTCCTGTACTGATGCCAGCAGAGTCCTCCTCATGGTGTGTGACAGGGAAAAATAATTCAGTCTCAGTAACTTTAAAGTTCCTGCTGTTTTCTTTGGTTCTGTAAGCCATAACCAGTAGCAGAGCAACCAAAATCTGTGAGCAAGGAATTTCCTTCTTCTGATGGGTTTTGCTGTCAGACAAATTTACAAAGAAGTTTGGAGGTGGATTAAAGCTGTGCATTTGCAATGGAAATCAGTAGAGGCAGCTATCCGGGCACAGCATGGTTCAGCATGTTTTCTGGGACCACAGGGATATGGTCTCCAGGTCTAGGGTCTCCTGAGGAATTTAAACTTTTTTCTTATTACATCTGTTATCCCACCACCCCTGGCTAGAAGTGTGATGGAGAAGGAGACTGCTCAAAGCATCCCACCACCAAACAGAGGAAGGAGGATGGAGATATTAATCTCCTAATTCATTCAACTGATTACATTTGTATTTTGTTGGAATCCACATACTGTTCTGTGTCTCTGTCAGTACGTGGGGCAAAACCTCATTGAGCTTTAATGGCATGGAAGAACTACCAGGTGACTCTCTGAGACTGCAACAGTTAAAATAAGTTTGACTCCAAATTTAACAGGACTCAGAATAGCAAACTATTCAGAGGTGACTACCTTTGTGCTGGGAAGCAGCTTCAGTCAAATAGAGTGGAGAAAAAATGCAGCATGTTTCCTGTCACATTAGAATTATTCTATAGCTTTTAATAAAGACAAAAAGAGGAGGAGTAGGTGGATATTCTAGAAGCTATTGTTCAATAGTTTCAAATGGTATCTACAGTAACTTGGGATTAGTCTAGAGGAGTGACATCCATAACACAACAGACGGGCTATGTCTCCTGCTGCTCCTTGCAGGATGGTACTACGGGCTCAGCCATCCCATGCTTCAGTGTCTTTCTGAGTAACAGAGGTAACATGATTTGAGCTCATCAGCAGAACAAGGACTGGAGGGACATTGGTTTAAAGTTGCAAGGGAGGCAAAAGATGGGAGATGTCTTGCCCAAGATTCCCTGGCAAGCCAGTGCCAGAGCCAGCATATAAATCCTGACTGTGTGATTCCCAGGCCAGTGTTCCACTCAGCAAGTGATTCCCCTGTATTGCAGCACAACAGGAGTGTACCCGAGGCTGCACAAGAAGCTGGTAGGGGACACAGCTGGGACAGCTGACCCCAAATGACCCCAAAAGCCTTACCATATGGCCTTCATGGTCAGTAGGGGGGAAGGAGGAGGAAGGTGAACATTCAGAGTGATGGCATTTTGTCTTCCCGACTCACTGTTACGTGAGGTGTGTATGCAGCCCTGCTCTCCTGGAAATAGCTGAGCACCTGCCTGCCCATGGGAAGCAGTGAATTAATTTCTTGTTTTGCTTTGCTCGTGTGTGGCAGCTTTTGCCTGACCTATTAAACTGTCTTTATCTCAACCCAGATGTTTCCTCAGTTTTACTATTCCCCATCCCACCGCCTGCGGCTGAGTTGGGGTTAAACCACAACACACCCTATTGTGCTTACATTACCTATTGTCAGACCTGAAAGCTAGGTGAGAAGAGATAAGATGAGATTGCCCTGAATTTTAATACTTTTTTGAACTCACTGAACAGCAGAAATATCTTCTTGGTTTTCATACCATTCTGTCAAAATTCACCTGCTGTGCGACACTCCTTGGCAAACCTGCAGCAAGACCCTGGAATACTGCATTGGGATGACAGACAGCAAACCCAGCCATCACCATGCCCTGACTGCCTGTTAAGAGAGGGCTTAGACCTCACCAGGGCACGCCAGCAGGGTTTTGTTGTATCCTAGATTTTGGAGAAAGCAGGGAGGTACTAATATCAGTCCTGCCACATCAAATGTGTAGAGAGGAGGTGGTCGCTGCCACAGCCCCTTTACAAATCCAGCTGGAGGCCAGAAACAATTGCTCTCTTAAAGAAAAGAAGCATTTGTTCTTCATCTATGCCACTAATAATAATAATGGCCAGTCTTCGCGAATGAAGATTTTGGGAAAGGTCTTTTACCTTTCCAGCCTGCGCAATGGATTTTTTAGGTGAGACACAGCACGCGCTGAACTGAGCCCACCCTTTAATCCTAAGGTTCATCTGCCGGGGCCAAGCGAGCTTGGACAATGGCAGTGAGGTCCTCAGGACGTAGGTTTGTTTAGAGTGACCTTCTCATAGATGGATGGCCTCACAGGGCTGACGGGCTCCATCTGCCCGGGGGACTGGGATTCGAACCTGGGTCGCAGCGGTGAGAGTCCCGCATGCTAACCACTAGGCCACCAGGGGTCCCTCTACCACTAATGACAACAGAAACTTTAGATTTATCTTGCCTTTCTTTGGGTGTAGATAGCCTCTGAAACCACCCAAGCAGACAGCTCTTCTTGTAGTTGTCGCTGGCACAACCTTCACCGTGCCTGCAAAACATATCATTGTAAACTCATTTCCAGCCCTGCCTCATTTGTGGCAGGAGGCTGGGACTAACACAGAGGCCTCTGAGCATGCTGCCAATCCAGCACAGCCAGAGGCTTTTCTTCAAATACCAAGAAATGCATTTTTCAAGAGCAGCAGTGTATGGGACATTACCCCAAAAGAGAATTTCTGCAACGTACAGTGCCGTGTGTGTTGGAGGACCTCCAGGTTGAGCTGGAATAAAATCTCTCCCCAGCTGAAAAGCCAAAGTGCTTGGACTCACTTGGCAAAAGTTGAAGTCACTGTGGCTGCCCAGGGAGGAAGAGAAATTAGTTTGTGGGGTTCCTGGCCATCCCTCTGCTCAGACACACCATCCAGTTCACAGGGACTGCAGCAAATTCATCCTCACTTTTAGTGAGGCTGAATGTACCCTGCCTGCAAATGCCGCACACCAGCTGGAGGAAGGGTAAGATGGGCAGGGGCCATTAATCCAAAAGACTGAATTGCCCTGAACAGCACTAGCTTGGAGGTCCTGGGCTGCCCCATCTTCCCTTGGTTCAGGCTGTGGGCATGATTGCTTCTGCAGTGGCATCATTCTCATTGCTGCAGTCCTGATCCCCACCCCTCACTGTGCCTCCTTGCTTTTCCTGTTGCACAATGGAAACAGGCTGTATGGCCAAGCAACACTGCTGTCCACCACAGCCCACACTGTGTAGGCATGAGCCAGAGCTACATCTTTCCCCAAAATCCTGCTGGAACACGGCATCCATGCAGACTGCAGCATGCCTGCTCATCCCACATGATGCTGTTATCCACAGACATCAGCGCTGGGTATCACACAGGCTGTGCAGGGTGATGGTACAGACAGGGTATTTCCTGACACTCTTTTTTATTAAAAGTTAAACTTTTTACATTTAGCTGTAATTTTCTAACTTCCTTCAAGAGCTAGGCCTGGAGGAGATAGACACATTTAGGACCTGACATAAACTTGAAGCTTTCTTGTTAGAGAAGGGCACCAACAGCTCAGTCAGAAGAGGAGAGAAAAGAGGAAATGACCTTGCTCAGAAAGGCCTTGTGGCCCTTGCTATGCTTGTGCAGTCCCACAGAAAAAAAAGAACAACAGAGGAGTCTATTTTCCTCTGTGCCCCACATAACCCAGCCTGAAAAACAGAGAGGGATGACTTTACAACTTATTTAATAACGCAAAACCTGAAGAAGGGGCAAGCTGCACAGAATCCCCAAGAGAGATTGCAGAGTCAAATGTGCTGATAGTACACTACTTGCAAAAAAAGCTTCTGCCATTCCCCTCTTGACATAGCGCCTGTTGCCTACCAGAGCAATCATATCCAAGTGTAATTGTCTAACAATTGTTCCGCACTGAGAAAATAGTTCTGATTACAGACATTAATACGTTTAGGCATTAAGCTTCCTCACTGTAATTACCCTTGAGCTTAGTCTCACAAATGAATTAATGTGCTGATCACTTGGACTAATAGAACCAGCAAAAGGGTTATGAATTGCTTCCAAATCAGATAAAATCAAGCGTGACATCATTTAATTAATTTCAGGGCTTCGGAGGAGGAGAAAAGGGGGTCAGCATGATGCTGAAAAGAAATGTGTCTTTCCAATAATGTTTTCTTTGGAGACAGAAATACGCAGACAAGGGAGGATGGGGCTGGGGAAAGGGAAGATGCACACCAAGTGAGAAGGAGGTTGCTGGAAATGGGGTTGTACAATCTATGTGTATGAGCAGGCAGACCTGGGTGGCTGCAGCTGCCTGACCGATAAAGTACAGCTCACATAGATGCAATGGACGGATTTCTTCTGGGTATGAACACTGCTCTGATTTTGAGTCATTCTTTGAGTGCCACGGCCCATGCATAACCCCTGCTTCTCCCCCAAGCAGAGGGCCTGCTCCTGGCCTTCCCCAGGATCACAGTTCCTCTGTGAGACATGAGTGTCTGAGGACAGCATTGCCAAAAACCCATCTCCTTTGTCATATTTTCTGGCAGGGGATCATCTGCCAGGCTGTCAGCACAAGGCTGGGCTGGCCACTGCTATGATAAGACAACCTATTGTTACTCTCCTTGACTTCTCCTCCCTGTTGTCTTGGTTTAATAACAATATATTCAGGAGGTAGGACCTCTAATGACAGTCCGTGGCAGATGGTGGGAATGTGTTTCCAACCCTGAGGCAGTCAGTTCCAGGTATACTGCATGCCTATCCAAGTGAAAGCAAACTGTGGTCTGCACTCTGTTGCCAAAGGAATGGAGAATAGTGCATTAGCGATGTTGATGGTGGCACCACTTCACTGCCTTAGCTCCAGTTTATACTGAAGCTTCAGCATGTCTGGCACAGCAGCACTCAGTGATGAGGTAACTTCATTCAAGCTACTGTCTATCTCCATTCTCCATTGGGCTTATGCACAGGCCAAATAAGGCTGGTGAAGGGTGACAGAGTCTTGCTGACTACTCCTTGGCTTCCCAGCTCATGGATCACCTTATGGATGGGGATTAAGGAGTCTCAGTTTGTGTGATATTGTTGACAGTGCACTGTTGTGGTGGCAATCAGCACCTGCTGTTCCCCAACTCTTAGCAGTCCCACAGCAGAAGGGTCCTCTGAGAGGCCAGAAAACACACTCAGCTGTTTAATCCCTTCTGTCTCTATAGCAGATATCCCAAAAGCCTACCAATGTCCTTTTGGATCTTTGTATCAATACCCAGAATACATGGGGAGACTCTGCCACCACATATCCTGATGGCATCAGAGTGCACTGTGCACCAGTGTCAGCCAAGGCCTTGTATTCTCATGGTCTGATGTGCTCAGCCATCAGATCCACACAGTTGAACAGACACAGTTATCCCATGCCTCTACCTGGCTAGAGGCAGGGCCCCTGTAGTGCTGGTTTTGGTCGTTGTGACTTTCTCCCTGTGCATACATCCAGGAGGTCCCTTCCTATGGCCTCATACAAGGAGCTTGTACCTGACAGGGCTACACAGAGTTTCTCCTTGAAGCCCAGCAGATAATGATCCATTATCAATTTAGATTTTCCACTGCACTGATATCCTACACAAACATCCACCAAGAGGGAAGGTCTTATAAAACAAAGGTCTCCATCACAGCTCACATCTAGTTCAGGCTTCTGCAATGGGAGAGCAGAGAAGCTTTCATGTACACACTTTACAAACACACCCAGTCCTGGCCTGATGCCAATTTAAACATACATTAGCAGCACACACAGACATACATATACATGTACACACACATGGATTTGCTGCCTGCCTATAAATAGGTGATCATCTCTCCTTAGTGTACCTGTATAAGCCTATACAACATAAAATACACGTGCATGGACACACACAAAGAATATTATACCAATGCACATACAAAATTTATAACCATATGCCTTCTGCCATGTCATTTAAATGACAAGGAATTTTGTCACTGCTGATTTCAGCAGGAGCTGCATAGGGTCCATAGTACTTTGCTGCACATTTAAATCTACATTTTATTTAGCTGAATTTTGGAGTGGTGGAGAGAGGCAGGTGAAAGCTAAATTTGAAGATAGGAAGCTTTTCATTCTCAAAAGTGTGGAGAGTCAGCATGCTTTACCACAGAGTCTGGCTGCCCCTTCCATAGAAAAGGGGCTGAGAATGGTAACTGGAGCCTCTTTGTGAAAAGACTGTTTCATGGGATTTTCCAGAGACCAGAGATCCAGCAGCCCAATATCAACACCCTTTGGCAGCATTCATCATTGTCTTGGCTATTTTAATCCATCCAGTTGCTCTGGGGACAGTGCAACTTATGACTCCATTTGTTTGATCCAGCCCTACAATAAATCTGATTAGTGGAGCACAGAGTGCAGGTGACAGTCATTGTGATATAGAGCAGATTTCTTATTCTCAGAACCTGATCTTGAACCAGGCATCTCCTGAGATGCCAATAGCTCTATTTGCTGGGTTTTTATAAATGAAAACCAGCAAACAACAGCAAAGAGCACCAGCAGCCTGGCACTAACTGTCACATATGCAACAAGGCTGAAGGTCCTGAATTTCCTTGCCTAGTGGTAATCTGACCATAGCACTGCCGCCTCACCACTGGCACCGTCATGGGCACTCACATGAAGAAGAGTCAGATGTTCCTGCCTTGTCCATCCAGCTTATCACAGAGGTCCTGGTTCTGCTCTGATAGCTCTGGCTGTGCTAAGCTGTCTTACTCTGCTCTGCTTTACTCCTTGGGAGGAATAGCTCATCACACTTATTCTTCCAATGTCAAGGAACACGTTTCCTGTGCTAGGGCCCAGTTTATTTAAAAACAAAACCAAACACTAGAACCAAATGGTGCCAGATGTTCAAATGATTGGCACTGACGTCTTTCGGAAATCTGGCCACGCATCGCTCGAGACCCAGATCTGCCCTTGGTGGGCAAGCCAGCTTTTGGGCTCTGGGGAAAAGGAAGGGGATGCAACAAAGTGGTCTGGCTGAGAACTGATTTTTAAGGGTAACTAAACTTCCAGCACAACCTTCCTGTCAGTCACATTGTGGAAGTCTGGTGGGATGAACTAGACAAAAGGGGATTTGTGCATGTGAGCAACACAGGGGATCTGGGCTTTTTCTGTACTTCAGTTCTCCTGGTGTAAAGAGGTAGGAATAAAATAACTCGCTCATCTCCAAGCAGTGCTCAGTGTGGAAAGGTTTATGAAATGCTCACAAACTGTTCTGCAGGGAGGGTGCTCTTGTAAGCATCTTGCAGGGGCCTCTTGGCCGCATGACAATGTCAGGGTACTCTAAGTGCAAGAGAGGGATTTGCTTTTACAGTATGACATTTGCCAAACAATTAATGTGAAGAGCAGTGTGCTATAATCACTTTTAGTATTAAACACACACAGTAAAAATAAATGTTTAAAGACACGGGTTTTTTTATGAGTTTAGGACATGATGTTTTGCACATTATTGTAAGAATCCTTACTGCTACCATAAGCTTCTGTTCAAACTGTGTAATTATT